ATTACAGTACTTGTATGTGTTCATTAATATTTCTACTTTTTTATTCCATTATCGGGAAAAATATAAAAATGTCGTTGTATTTGGATTATTTATGTTATAATTAAATATTTAGTGTAACAATAAATATTTTCGTTCATTACCAGCGTCATAAATTGTACCAAGTTACTGTTATGGTATAGTCTTGTTTTTTTTTTTATAACATAAGGTGGCAAACGAGCAAGCGGCCACCTGATACCGCCAAAATGGCGAAGCGACCGCTCCCCATAGACATCCGCAATTGCAGATGCGTTGCCTACCATTATACGACGGAGAAGGGCACGCACATAAAGAGGACATTTCCCCTTCCTATGCATCTCATCCACAGTCAAATCCACTTCCCCTTTCCAACTTCTCATTATAAGAAAAGAGTGGTAAAGAGAAAGGGACTTAAATTAGGCCTCCGGCACCACACTCATCAGACGAAACACGGAATTGCTTCCATTTCACGCCTGTCTTCTGTGTCGTGGTATTAAACCGAGCGTGCCGGCCCTGCAGTGCTAAGATGTTAAAGCGGGCACTACCACTGTTTCTTACTTTTCTTGTACTTAAATGCGAAAGTATAGATGGATGAATGGATGGATGTTTGTTAGAGTTTGCCGCCTACAACTGAACCAATCTCGATAAATTTAGACTTTGCAGCCGTCTATGAGCAGTAATTTCTTGCTATACCATTTGCTCGTTTTCTATCACATATTAACTATATAAAAAACCCTTTTGTATAACTAGTATAGTAAAATATTGTATATCGCCCTAGTACAAATTGCAACGTGAATAAAAAAAACAAACACGCACCAATTCGCATCGAAACAAACTAGAAATTGAATTTCTGTTCGCGAATACGTTTGGCAATATACGGTACAATTCCCACAAACAAAGCAAATTTAAAAATATTGTTTACACGGTAACAAAGATGTCATAATCTGAGATATTTAATCTACGGTAAAGAGTGGTAGTGCCCGCTTTAACATCTTAGCACGAATGGGCCAGCACGCCCGGTGTAATACCACGACCACACAGAAGACAGGCGTGAAATGGAATCAATTTCGTGTTTCGTCTGATGAGTGTGGTGCCGGAGGCCTAATTTAAGTCCCTTTCTTTTTACCACCCTTTTCTCATAAGGAGAGGATGGGAAGGGGAAGTGGATTTGACAGTGGAGGAGATGCATAGGAAGGGGAAATATCTTCTTTATGTGCGACTCATCCACCATCGGATAAGGGTCCTCAACGCATCTGCAATTGCGGATGTCTATGGGCAGCGGTCGCTTCGCCATTTTGGCGGATTCAGGTGGCCGCTTGGTCGTTTGCCACCTTATGATATAAAAAAAAGAGTGAAGTTACATAAAATTACTATCGATGCGTAATGTCCTTTTATTAATATCTCTATAGTAGGTTAAATTCCAAACAATATTTAGTTACTAATTAATATGGAAAAGCACAGAAAATTGTGCCAATTGTTTGTCCTCGATCTCTGCTTACTTCTCGAGATTACAGGCGTGATTCATAATGTTGACCAATGAAAGATTAAATGTACTATAGCTGTTGCTCGCGACTTCACCCGCGTCAAAAATATAGCTTATGTTAATCACAGATAAATTATCTTTCTAACGGTGAAATAATTTTTAAAATCGGTCCAGTAGTTTTTGAGTTATAATACTTATAAAAGTCCTTCCTCTTTATAATATTAGGATAGTATATACTTTTACGAATTTGTATGCACCATCTGGAGGTTGTAAATCTATGCGCGGAAGCAGTACCAGAGAATGGTTTGCGGTGGCGATTGCGTGCACGTCGGAACAGGGATTCGATTGAGTCGCTACCACACGGTTACGCGTCACGTAATCTTGAGTAGTCATAGGGATGTCTGTAAGTAGATATCGATATATTGTTATATCTTTCGAAAAGTTATCGATATTTTACCATGAACTGCCAAAATATATGTATTTCTTTTTCCTATTTAAAGTATCATATTTAAGCACTGATTAACTATAGAATACTAAGCCAATGAAAAGGCTTAATAAAAGTAAATAAAAAATCCGTCAGACAACAGAAATAGTTTTTTTATTTAAGAAATCTTATAAATAATTCCCATTATTTCTTACTCAACTCTTGCATAAGCCTTCTGTAGGCGGCAAGCACGCGATCTCACTATATCAATATATCCCATCCCACGTATTTTCTATCGCTTTACGCTGGTCAATAAGGCGTTAAACTGATCGAGAAATTAATGGTTTTGTTACTCTGACAACTTAATTTACATTATTTGTATTTACAACTGTTGAATACTTCATAGACATGACGTATTTAGATAAATATTTTAATGCTAACATTTGATTGACTTTCTTTGTGCTGATTTAGCTGGCCTATAGTATCAAATAAGTGGTTTTATCCGCATGATATTATGAAAACCTTATTATATTTGTTACATTCCGTAAAACTTTCAATTGTAAATGTCACAATCTAAGTTAAGTAACCATGGCAACGTTCATTCTTTGCTAGTATTGGTTAGTTGTTTTTGTCCCATTCTTACAGTTTTTCCATATTATTCACTCCCTAAGTTTAAAAGTGTATAAATATAGAGCTTAAAGCTTGTAATTGCAGGGGCTTTTATTAAAAACGTAGTCATTCAAAAATTTGATGTCTTTACTGACATCCTGCGTAACAAAGAGTGAATGGTAGTAATTTTGGTTGTTGAAAAAAAAAGTAAATAAAAGAAAATTTATTCCAATTTACGAAGCTGCGAGAGGACGTTGTTAACAACAATTCGTCTATTTTGATCAAAATTGAAGGATTTAAATCAGACGAAATTTAAGGTATCAGTCGCAACAATAGGTGTTAATAAAAAAAGTAAAACAATCAACGGAGAACAATAGTAATCTGGATCTCATATCAAAAACAATCGAACATGTACTTTGATCTATAGTCAATAGAGTTTAAATCCTAACATGACAAAAACTCGAATTTTATACATGAAAAGTTGTAGAAATACGAATAAAGCCGGTGTGTCGAGCAGTGAAAATAATTAATTTCCACAAAATCCATTACCGTTGAGTGCCCTGCCGTGAAACTGTTGGGTTAACAATAACTGTGTACTGACGCTGAATCACACTTTATTAATTCAACTCATTGTTATTTCGTATTATTAAGCGTTACCTTTATTAGCAATTCGTTTACGCTATTTACCAGTCGAATGTTCATGAACTTTTAATGAAAAGTACAGTTTTTGCAACAGTTAGCCTACAACTAGGTATTTTACTAACTTAACTAACTGTTCCCGTGCGGCTTCATCCGCATGAAATTATGAAACTTTTATTTTATTGTTCACATTTGATAAATTGTCAATTGCAAATGTAAAAATGACATGACATGACATGACATAGCTTGGCTATCTTGCTTTCTTGATGTTGGCAGCAACTTATGGTCTCTTTTCCACATTAGGGTTTCTATCCGAAATATTTACCCCCTAATTTTAATGGAAATAAGTGTAGGGCTTTTTATTAAAAAAAGGATTATTGAAAAATATATTGTAATTGCTGACAGGCAACAAATAAGTGTGTGTTTACGCTTTATTATAATAAGTGTAGATAGTCTATTCAAAACTAGTTTAGAATAGTCTATCTTCGTTGGTATTTCCACACCAAAACGACTTAGAGGATTTTAACTCTAGAAGCAATCGTGCCATTTCCAGCAACACATAGTTCCACTGGTATTGCAAATGTCCATGTGCGTCGTCGATCTTTTCGGTGGTTATTCCGCCAGTTTGATCCTTCTCTTATGTAAAATATACAGTTTTTCCGTCTGTTTTTACTGACTTTCTTTTGTAATTTCACAGTATGTTCGTTGTAGACATTAAAATTTGATCAAAGTACAATACGTTGATACATTAGTTTTAGTTTGTAACCAACTTGTTTGAAAATAACTTGCGAGGAATCCGTGCGTAGTTCCGAGTGGCCGGGGGCGAGCGCTTCAAAGCGCCGTGATCGCGATAACTCGACCACTAGCCGTGGTCCTGGGAATAGCTGTATACAGAAGTGAACCATCGGAAAGATATGTTATGCTATTCTCAAGAAAAACTGTGTAATTTTTTTTAAAAACATAAATGAAAATCTACGCCTGGAATGCTGTGGCCAGAACAAATCCAGATAATTCTTAATAAGGTAAGCCACTGGTAGAAAAGGGCAATGCTCTGAGAAGAATTCAAACTGAGTCATTTATGTCTATAAACTTCTTCAGATATTGTAAATTTGATGCGAACTACAAACATTTTGGTATAACATTGCTGCATCCTGCATAAAGCTTTTCTTTCTAGTTGACCGCTCTCATATAGCCTAATGGCCGACGGCTGAATCTTCACATGGTGTTTTGCTGCGGCCTTCGTGAATACAAGTCCTTTAAAGTTTAATAGCAAAAGTGGCTGTAGTGCTTTAATTTTATTTTTATCCAACTTTTTATAACACATTGTAAGGTGTTCGATTACGAATCTCTCCACTCATATGCAGATAAATAATGAGATTTCAATACTAGCTGTTAAATAGTTATGATGATTATAAAATATAACTATATACTTACGTGAAAAATCTTTATAGAGGTTTTAATGTAGATTTTTCAAATTTAATCCAAGTTCTAATCTTTCGTACATATAAGATTTGATGATTTGTACATGATATTGTTTTAGTAGGTAATTATTTAGTACTAGCTTTTGCGCGCGACTCTGTCCCGGTGAAATTAAAAAAGAAAACAAAAGTATATAGCCTATGTGTTCTTCCAGACTATCCTCTATATCTGTACCAAATTTCATCGAAATCCGTTTGTCCGTTTAGGTTACACACTCTAACAAACATCCATCCATTCATCTAAACATTCGCATTTATAATATTAGTATGATGTCCATCGTATATAGTAATTGTAAGTTCTTTAGATTGTCTACTATCTTTTGATCTGTTGATAACATTGAAATAAGCATAATAAATTATTAACTATTTATTTTAACATACTTAATCTTATTTATTAACAAACATAGGTTAGAACTAAAGCTGTTAACATTAACAAGCTAGCTTTAATAGTAGATGCACTACTCATGTATCCAAATCGTTTCGCTTGATGGATCAGTTCGATTACCGAATCCATGACCTCCTCATTGTTGGGTAGGATTTGATTTTCAGGTAAAAGAAATCCATATGTTCCATCATCACGTAACTCATAGCAATATACCAGAGGTACCTGAAGATGTTCTTTGACCCAGTCAATACTGCCGCCAGTTGCAAGGTCTGAAAATATAATAGTTAATATGAAAGTAGTGTTAAGAAGAAAATCAGTACTGCGCCGGAGGATTGGCGTAACATTAGATTATTGGCATATATGTCCCGTCTCTAACTGACAAGTCAATGTCAATGTCATTCAGACGTATTGGAATAGCGAGACATCCTAGCGGAAGCCAGTGGCCTAAGTGGTTTGATTTAATTATTACAGTTTTATTATTGTCATTAAAAGTAGATGCCAGAAAAGAGATTGTAAATCATCATCTTCCTTAGTAGAATGTCATCATCATCATCATCATCACCAGCTTACTATACGTCCCCACCGAGGGGCTCGGAGCCTACCCTAATAAGGGGTGACTAGGCCATAGTCAACCACGCTGGCCAAGTGCGGGTTGGTTGACTTCACACATATCTTTTGAATTTCTTAGCCGATATGTGCAGGTTGCATAACGATGTTTTCCTTCACCATAAGAAGTAGAATGTGTAGAAGGCAAAATAGAAGATCTCAATATAATTGATGCACTTACAAATAGCTTCAGCGATATTTCCTGTGACGTACTTTGTCCCGTGCCTTACTGACAAGGCTCCCATTGCTCTTCTTCCAATATTCATCTAGAGCAAAAGAATTTTTAACACTATATTCAACGTCAAATTATAAATGTACATCGTTAGCATATTCTACTTTTTAGACCTTGCATTGATCAAAAATCTGAATCACTATCTCTTGGTTAAATTACAAACATATGTTTGCTAATTTTCTTTCACTTTTAATTTTAATAGTAATATTACGATTTCCACCACAAAGCTTCGAGTATGGAGAACTAAATGAGTCAAATTGACATCAAAAGACTTGTAACTTACTGCATCATGATAATTGGCTAGGGGATCTGTTGTATTTCCGAAAGGCAGCAAAAGAAGATGTCCGAAAGAGTGGAAGGAAAGGTACAGATCTATATTTCCCTGTAGTGTTAAAAGGTATGAAGATAGGCTTCTAGATTCTGGTTCCGAGAAAGGTCCAAGTCCAGCGTAGTCATCTCTTACGGGGTTGCTACTTGCTCCGTGAACTGTAAGAATAGAAAATTTTAAGGTTTATTGTGTGAATGGTAACGCATACGTGAATTATACTCCGATTGGACAATCCCATCCTTCACTAATTCATTTCTTTATTGTTTACCGTAGAATATAACATTTTTAATCTTTGGAAAATGTGTTTAGTCAGTCCCTATTATCTATTCTCTGATAATCAATAAAATGTTTCCGAGTTTATCAATATTTATCACTCAGATATATCGAAAAATGTCAAATTATAGTATGAATTTCTTTAATTAATTAATTTATGTAATTTTGGAATGTTATTTGTTATCAGTCATAATTATTCTATCTTTGTTTTGATTTTGTTCAAATTAAAAATTTAAATTTCTAGTAGTACAAGTAGTCTGGAAGATTTAATTTTAATTTTAATTACTACATGAACATAATTTCACTTAAAATTCTAACGACTGTCTGTCTGACATATTAAAGAAATTGTAACATATGACCTAAGAATATTAAAAAAAAAATTACCAAGCCAATTGTTGTTCCAGTTTCTATTCAAATCCACGCCGTAATTAGCACCGATAGGTCGACGATTCTTACGCCACATTCTGTTCTGTAAAAACATTGAGAAATTACACGTGAAGTCTTAAATCATGACAAATTAATTCGTGAAATTAAGTAGTTTTATCAACATATTTACCAAGACTTTTTTAGGATCAGTATACTAAAATCACCACTCATTTAATAGCATTTTTAAAAGATAATCAATACCTTGTTATACTGTAACTTAAACTACAAGAAAATTCTTACCACTTGATGACTGAAAATATAACCATCAGGATTTGTAACTGGGAATATGTACCAATCAAAATCAGCAGCAGCTGCTCTGGTTTCCCTATCACTGCTTCTTAGTAATTGGTCAATAATATAGCAGACGGCTGTCGGTGATATCCATTCTCTAGCATGGATACCGCCTTCTAGAACTATCGCACGTCTCCCGGATCCATGTGATATTTTGATACCCTTTATATCACGACCTTCTAAAGATCTACCTCCAATTATAGATGTTACAACAGAATGTGTGGATACCAAGTCATCTAACCAAGCGTTGATACTATCCATATCATAATATCTTGTCCATGTCATGTTTCTGAGATTATTTCTTGTATACGTTGCGACATTCTCTTGATCTATTATCCTATAACATTTAGAATAAAATTAACACCTCCAAATCTACATAAAGTAGCCAAAATTTCATTGAATTTCTAATCTTACGAATATCATAAATGCAAAAGTTTAGATGAATGGATGTTAGAGTTTGTAGCCTAAACAGCTGAACGGATCTGTATGAAATTTGGCATATATGTAGAGGGTATTCTGGACGAACACATCATCGACTTACTTTTATGTTTTAATTCCTGTTTAGTTGCAACATAACGTTAGAAAATCCTGAATAAGTGATACATTAAGAATATTACTTACTCTTGAATATTTGGTTGTGTGATGACAAATTTAATGTTATTGTAATTCAGTACACTTTCCAACTGACTCTTATCGTCAGGACTGGACAGGATGCTTACATATTCCGAACTAATTACAGGGTCCTTCCAAAAATCGTATTTATCTTCATTGTTTTTCAAATCCTGGAGTACTGAGATGTGGTGTTCATTTTCTGGATATATCTTGTATAAGGCATAATTATCAAATCTGACTTTTGCACTCGACACAACAGTTAATAGTAAAATAAATTTTATTACGAGTATCTTCATATTTCCCATCATACACTTCTGATTGACACAACTAATTTACTAATAATAACCGCGTACTAATGATATCAAATCGCTCAAGGTTGTGATAAAAGATAATTTAAATGGATTAAGGATTTTAAAAGTTTATGACCTTATTAAGGATATCAAAGGTTAAATAATAATACATCCTTTTAAAACCCGTGTTGTTTAATTGCAACATGTGTTAGAACTGAACTGGCGTGCGCCCTCTGTTAATCAAACAGGCAATTCATCTGTAAATGGGGAAGTCTATGAGATGCAGTTGTGAATAACGTATTTTATAGATATATTTTTATACACCTCTATAGATATCTAGCTTTCACTCGCGACATAATACGTAGAATTAAAAAAAAACAAAAGCAAGTAGCCTAAGTGTTCTTCTAGACTATCTACACCTATACCAAATTTCATTGAATTCTATTCAGCCGTTTAGGATACAAACTCTAACAAACATCCATCCATCTAAACTTTCGCATTAAAATATTAGTATGAAGTAACTATATATGTACATATGTGTTCGACTTTTGCTAGTTTGCCATCTTACAATGTAAATACGAGTATAAACGAATTCTTAATTTGTCTTCCAAATTAAATCGTTCCACCATTTTGTGTTCAGATTTATATGTTACAAATATACTTTGATATACTTTACGCTTATCGTCGTTCTGTCTATAAACTGTTTTCACATCTTGGCTCAATTCCAGACTACTATATATTACTTAGTCTTAAGATTTAAGCCATGCACTTTGACTTAAGCTAAGCACACTACCATTTTATCGACAGTTTTATTGTACACAGAAACAAATGAAAATGCGTTATCTGATGCTGTTATGGACAGAGAAGAAATGATATTTACGAATGGAAATATTCAATTACATTATCTACGTTTATCAATTGTCGATGTTAAACCTGAAGATAGCAGGATACTTACAAAGTACTTAATAATTATCAATACAAAATCGTCTACTAATATAATTTCGACATTTGTATTTGACATCATATTTTACTCCCGAACGATTATGATTTTTTGTAAGAACATAGAAAAGAACACAGAATAAAATACAGATACTTAAAATATTTATTTTTTAAAGGCTTTGATATTTCGACTCTCTATAATACATTTAAAAACTTGGCCTCTCTGATTATAGCCATAACGGAATCGTATGTTTCTTCACATGAAGGTAGAACTTGGTTCACAGGTAACGTGTAGCCCCATGATCTATCCCTCAGCTGGTATGTCGCCACAACAGGTGGGTTGAAGCGGTGTTTTACCCAATCAGCGATAGTTCCGGTAGAACCATCTGGAATAAACATTTCTTTACCGGGTATATGAGAAATTAATATTTTCTTTAATTTGATTTAGCTTTCGACCGTGACTCCATCTCCATGAAATTAAAAAAAAACCAAGTAGTCTAAATTAAATCTATGCCAAATTTCATCGAGATCCTACATCTATCCTACATCTGTCTAAACTTCTGCATTTATATTATTAGTTAGATATAGGAGTCCGTTTACTTACCATGCACTTCCTTCGATGTTCCTACAAGATACTGTGTATTGTACTTAACAGCTAATGATCCCATAGCTCGTCTACCAATCGTCAACTATAATAAAGTAACAATTATTAAGACTACTTTTCCGGTAAGCGAGTAACTATTAATAGTAACTGCTAAATCTTACTTAAGAATGAAAATAAAACCTTATTGATAATCGAAAAACTGAAAAGGTCATTATTTATGTGAATGCATAAACAATGTAGCTATAGTAAATAATTGCATCTTACCATATCCCGATAGTTGTACATTGGATCTGTGGTGTGGGCGAATGGTATCAGTAGCCTTTGACCAAATGCTCTAAAGGACAATAATCCGGCAAGATTGGTACCTATTGTATCAATATAACGAGATACATATCTCGTCTCAGGCTCGGAGAACGGGCCTAGACCTACGTAATTACTATCAGAGGGATTGAAGCTGCCTCCGCTTACTGTAATTATTAATAGTATTGTAGATTAGTTAAATGCGTTAGCAAAGACAAAAATTATATTAGGTAACAAATATTTTACCAGCCCATTGTGAATTCCAGTTTTTAGATAGATCAACTCCTATAGCAGAACTACGTGTAGGTCTACGATTTTTCATCCAAAGTCTTACCTGCAATAGAAAGTTACGTTACTTATTAAAAAAATGCGAAAGTTTAGATGGATGAATCGTTGTTAGAGTTTGTAGCCTAAACAGCTGAACGGATATCGATGAGAGACATAGTTGTAGAGAATAGTCTCCAAGAACACACACAAAAATATAGTTTAAAATTATATCCTAGAATAGTTAATTAACTTCCATACTTACAGAATCTTGAGAGAATTGGTGTCCATCAGGATTCACAATCGGGAAGATATGCCATTCGAAATCCTCAGACGCCGATCTAGCTTCAGGATCATCTCCGGTCACCAACTGATTTATTAAATACGTGACAACTGTAGGTGATAGCCAATCCGCGCCGACCTGACCGCCATCGATAAAGAAAGCCTTTCTTCCAGAACGACGTGATATTCTAACCCCAGTTATATTTCTACCTATATAATAAAAATGTTTTAGAAACTTCTGTGTTATTTCACCTTTAATAATTTCAGTTACATGTGTACCAAGTTTGTCTACAATTAATATTTAAACGAATCTATCTTAGCAAATCATTTTTACCTTCGTGTGTTTTTCCAGCTTCAATCAAAGTAACAACATTATTATGAGTTCTTGCAAGCTCGTGTAACCATTCGTAAATTTCATCTATAGTTTGATAGTTGGTCCAATACATTCCATGGTCACGTTTCCTTCTACTCCGTGCTTGGTCATCAAATACTCTGAAATATAAATTAAATTGTTAACACGGGGCTTCAAAAACAAAATAACAGAAATAAGATTTGATAAGATTGGTTTTTGAGTAGAATTTTGGTCTTTTACGTAGGAACATATAATTCCAGTCATTTCAAATTTACAGCTGCAAGCCATTCTGCAAAATTTACAGATATTTTATATTACTAAAGCTGGTAAAAAAAATTACATACCTTTGAATATCTTCCAATACAATATTATAACTGATTCCATGTTTCTCGAGTGCTTTTTCAAATTCTTCCCTACATTTCGGTTGAGAAACAACACTGACATGATTTTCAACTGTCGTAGGTACACTCCAGAAATCAAGCAATTCATTCGCTTTATACAGTTCCTTTAAATACTGTAAATGTTCTTTTGTTGCCGGTTGTACATTGTACAATGTGTAATTATCATAACGAACTTTTTCTGACAATGTCAATACACAACACAAACACAAAATTAGTAATTTTAACATATTAATGTGTAAGGTTTCTTCAACTAACACTAAATGAAATATAATCGTAATACTTATCTTTACTATACTTTCATAATGATTTATTCTAAATTGAACCTAATTGTTAACAGTTTAAAGTTCTCTTTTATATATCATGGTAGTGTAACAATTATCGACTACGTATCGCGCTTGTAATATTCGTTTTAATCTAGATTTGGTAAGTATTTATTTGAGTATATTATTTACATCAAGATTAACAATATCAAAGTAGTTACGTTGATAAAATATATCTAATAATTACAATTTGATATCAATTCGATAACTTACATCTTACAAATATAATCTAGGTATTATTTACAGTACTTTTTTGATGTACCTTCTTCTGATAGCATACATAGAAGTTCTATTGAGGTAAATCTTTTTCGTATTTCTTCTGGTTTTTGAACCTGTTTCTTCTATTATCATTAATAAAAAAACTATTTGTTTCTAGTTTTTTTTTTGTTTTATGCGTAGTTGATTTAAAATTATGTTAAATAATGTTTACACTTCATCTTTGAGATTCGGCGTTCATCACCAGCTCACTGTACGTCTCCACCGAGGGGCTTGGAGCGTACCTAAATGCGGGTTGGTTGACTTCACATATCAATAAATTTCTTCACCGATATGTGCAGGTTGCATCACGATGTTTTCCTTCACCGTAAGAACGTCGGGTAAAAAGATTCGACGTTCGAAACCGTCAATTCGGACTGAATTTCGAATTCATCACAAGGCGCCTAATTGCTCGAAAAGCAAAAGCTCAACTCTTTCAGCAGCATTAATTTCCGTTTGTAAAATAAATACGACCGCAGCTCACCTGTCAAAATGTCGACAGTTAAAAATGAACTGCAAAGAGGCCCGCGCTTAACCACCGATCCGTGGCTAATTACCTACCGGCAATCAATCTTGTAAATTCGTCCAGAGCATCAGTACAAATTGTCACTACGCTCAGCGACTACAAGCTTAATTGCTGATTCATATTAACCCTTTTATAATAAATGCTGATTATTTTCAGGTTCCACAAATATCAATTGCGATTTCGTGTCGCTTTATACAATTTGCTAGCAATTTATCAGACAATGGTTTAATCCATCTTTATAAAATCTGATATTACAATAGTTAAATATCATATTTGATTATTCTTACGTTTGAAAATAAGTAAACCGAAGTGTTTTCCGAATTGTTTTGTTTAGTAAAAATATTTCTGTTTGAATTCTAACATAATCTAATTTATCGTCAACTGATTTTGGCCGTTAGAAGATTCTAGTAAATGACTTTTACTTAAATGATCAGCGCTGTCTTTCCAACTTTATCTCCCACTAGCTGTTCCCGTGCGGCTTCATCCGCATGAAATTATAAAAACTTCATTTTATTGTTTACATTTGTGAAATGTCAATATTCAAATGCATAAGTGACAATCTTCCTTGATGTTGGCAGCTCGTAGATTATGGTCTCTTTGCGGTCTAATTGCGTAGATAAAAAAAAAACTTATTGGCAATGCTAGTGGAACTATCAATTAGGGTTCATTCTCTGTTTAATGTAATATTTTATAAATAATTTACTACTTTAGTTACACATACACACAGAAAACAGGCGTGAAGTGGAAGCAACTCCGCGTTTCGTCTGATGAGTGTGGTGCCGGAGGCCTAATTTTAATCCCTTTCCGTTCCAACCTTTTCTTAAGAGGAAAGGATGGGAGGAAAAAGTGGATTGGACGGTGAAGGAGATGAATAAGAAGGGGAAATGTCCTCTTTATATGCGTCTCCTCCTCCGTCAATTAGAGTAGGCAACGCATCTACAATAGCGGATGTTTATGGGCAGCGGTCGCTTTCCATTTCGGTGGATTCAGGTCACGCTTGCTCGTTTGCCACCTCGTATTATAAAAAAAAAACACATACTCTATTTAAAAAAAAATAAGTACAAATTTTTAACTCCCTTATCATCAGAAACCATCAAAAATTTAGTGAGATGATACGTTGAATTCATAAATTCAATGATTGGTATATCTTTCCTCTATAACAAGATTTACAATTAACAACGATAGATCTCGTTTTGGTTATCTGACTATTATACTCATGTTAACTTGGTTATGGATCAATAGAACATTATAAGAAGAGTCTTTTAATGAATTTTAGTCGACTATTTATAAAACTGAAGCGTTTCAAAGAGGTACTTTTCAGTGCACACAACTTACGACCATTGCCGTGCCGCTAATTGTGATTAATGACTGCGCATTCGTCGCGAAGTCATCGTTTTGCTGCCATCACGACAGACTGTTTATTTCTCACTCTTATTCCGGACTCGCTACAAACGGGCGACTATTCAAAAATATAACAGTCCGTCCTTTTTTTGGTTTCCTCTGAATGTTTGCTGTTACTAATTCATGCGAAATTTACATAAGCATTTTAATGTTTTGTCTATTGCTGTTATTCAAATCCGATATATTATCCGAAGTATTTTTGATGATAATTTTAAAACTGTTTAAAATTTGTTTCATAATTCGGTATCTATTAAAATACAACTTTTTTATTTATCTATACTATTATAATAAAGCGTAAACACACACTTCTTTGTTGCCTAAGATGTCAGCACTAACAGAATATTTTGAAATAATTCTTTTTATAATAAAAAGCCCTAAACTTGCGTCACGCTTTAGACTATATATTTTAACGTCATTAAACTTAGGGGATAAATATTTTGGATAAAAACCCTGATGTGGGAAAGAGACCATAAGTTGCTGCCAACATTAAGGAAGAAAGGTTGTCATTATGTCATGTAATTTTGAAATTTTTAATTTGACAAAAATCAAAAATAAAATAAAATGTTCATAATTCCATGCGGATGAAGTCGCACGCGAACAGCTAGTTATTTATGAAACTACTATTTTGTATAATTCTTTCTAATCGATTCTTTTCTTTTGTGTCGATTAGAAAGAAATTGACAACAGCTGATAGCATATCAGATCGAGATCATGTGGAATCACACCATGGTTTATAAGCTTGTAGTCCTATTTCTATGATATGGATTATAACAATACTTAAATCGTCAGTTTATATCCATCATTAGCCGCACTAAGGCTAAATCCACCGAGTGAACCGCGTCATTACAGCCCACCGCACGATTCGAACGCTAAAATTAAACTAATGTGATCTAAACACGAAATAAATGAACGAACACGATTCAGAACAAAATTAACATCGAAATTGTCGCAATAATGCGGTTTTACGTGCAGCGTTAATATGTTTGTAAATGTTTTGAAGAAAAAGATTGTTGTTTTGTTAAAATGCTCAAGCTGGAATGTTATTTGGACTAAGGGGACTGGTTATATTTAAGATGCCACAATAATGTTGAATTTGTGTCTAATCTCCCGGTACCTCTACCAGGTCAAATTACATCTGTCTAATAATCTTTCTGCTTTTGTTTTATTTTACTTATTTCTTTAAGTAAGAGAGTAAGTGTTTTTTTTTAATAACTTCAATTTCATCTATCAAAAGTTCTAACTTCCAAACACATTTTAACAATAATATCACATCATTCAAATTGTACGCTCCCTTTTCACACTTACTTTCATAAAATTTACATAAGTGAGTCTCGAAGAGGGTATATTAAAAAAAGGTAATACCAACAGAAAATCCGACGCCTTTCCTCAAACACGTTCACAAAACGTAGTCAAAACTCCGCGACCTCAATCCCCACCATAATCAAATAATCTCATCTCGAAGAATATGAGAGTGCGCGTAAAAAGGAGCGAATCATTTTATTGAAATTATTTTCTGGTGAAGCGGGAGGGCTTTTATAGTTCTCAATATTTATGAGAGGAATAGAACGCGGGGATTCTGGTGTGAATTAATTAAAATCAAATATCTCCACAGATTTGTTGGCTTCTGATTTTGGATTTATATTTCTTTGATACCTCTAACTTTTGTAGTGAATACATTTTAATACCAAAAGTGATATTAACTTAATGTCAAAAAGTAGTATAATTTTAAATTAAAAATTCTCCAAAAGTATTATAGTTACAAAAATTTGGAATTACATCATTTTTCTTTCAACAAAAAGCGAAAGACCTTTAAAATAATAATACAGAATAGTCTTTTGTTTTTTATAGAAGAAAAATCAAGAATTCAAGTGAAATTGGAAAAGTCAGAATTCCTTCAGAAGGTATTATAGTTGTGGACCGTTGCCAGATAATGTAAGTAGTCACCCGATAAACACATCCATACCTGTTAAGTCCAATTTATTACTATGACTTGCTTGACTACTACAATAATTTCTCATGCAATGTCAGATATTAATATGAACCAATTATTTTTAAATGTCTTTGTATTCACATGATACTCAACAATTCTTGCGAGTTCCTTAAGTTACAGATCGGTGAGTTGACAATAAAACGGTATTTGTATGGACAGAAAAGTGAGTGTAAATTACGCCCCACATTAATCACTCGCGTCCGTTCTTACCGCAATAATGTGGTTGACTTCATCTTCGAATAATTCTCTTTGTTCTTTGCAGTCGGCCGTTACCGTTTATATTCGATGCTCAATTTATAAGAGGTAGCGATTTTGGAAGACAACCATAAGAATGCGACAATTTACTTCGCAGTCATCGGACAAAGAACGCCAATGCCGCATATGGTAGTTTTTTAGTTGATACATAATCCGATAATTTAGAAACTATCACTTATGAAGGGATTACCCTTTTCTGCAACTTCCTACTGCATAAGCAAACGGATAGATAATTTTGGAAGAGTACCTTATGGTTATATTAATGTTTCTCATCGATCCACTGGTAAATCTAGTCGAGGCTTATTGTTTCTTTAATTGATTGCTTTTTTTGTAGGTAATTTTGCTTTAAGACAAAGAGTTCTTAAACCCACTTCATATTCTGCATTAGACCATCCAACATCAGCCGTACATCACGGCGTGTCGTTAAGGGCAGGAGGTGGTCCGATAAATCAGGGGACGTCGTCTACGCCGTTCGCTTGCAGTCGCTAATGCGTGT